CAGAAGAGGCAGCAGGTGGCACCATCAAGAACATGAGGCCGATCAGAAGTACTCCAGAAGCTGTGTCCGTGCACCAGGAAGGAGTCCAAAGGAACTCAGAGGAGGATCCTGACGATGAAGTAGACCGTCTCTACCCCACAAAAGAAGGGAAGCAGAAGGAAGGCTCTTCAGCTGTCCCCAAGTGCCTCGGTTGTGGAGGTCGTCATAAGAGGACCGACTGCAGATTTCGCTCCGCTATCTGTAGAGCATGCGGAAAACAGGGCCACATTGCAGCTGTGTGTCTGGGCTGTCAGAAGGTACAACCTCGAGAAGAATTGCGCCTGAAAGGTACCAGGGTCCCCAGCCAAAACAGGGTGGGTTTCTGTGCTTCGCGAAGAAGCATTTATAGGACAGGCACACACAAGCCCATTAAGAAAAAGCTGTCACTTAAAGTGAAGTTACAAGGGGTTCCATTGGCTATGGAACTGGATACGGGGTCTGCACTTTCAATCATTTCCATGCACATGTTCAGGAAGATTTGTTCTGGCAGTGGATTTCAGGCCAAACTGAGGCCTTCCGACATTGTGTTAACAAACTTTCAAAACTCCAGAGTGTGTGTTAAGGGGGAGGCCACCCTTAATGTACAGTACAAGGATTTTGAAGGTCCATTAGATGTAATAGTAGTAGGGGGTGAGCGAACGAGTCTCATAGGACTCGATTGGTTTGAGGCCTTGGGAATACACGTCACAGGGCTCAATAGCTTGCAAACAGTAGATCTACAGGACAGTAGATCTACAGGAAGTCTGCAAAGAATTTGCAGATGTTTTCAGCCCACAGCTGGGCACGTACAAAGGACCCCCTGTGTCATTAAAACTAGACCCCACTGTCACCCCTATTAGAATTAAAGCAAGAAGGGTTCCTTTTGCTTTGAAAGGTAAAATTGACACCGAATTGGACAAATTGATTCAGCAAGGAGTCTTAGAACCTGTTGACTCCAGTCCTTGGGAGACCCCCATTGTCACGCCTCTTAAGGCAAATGGGGACATTCGCATCTGTGCAGATTACAAATGCACTCTGAATAAGGCATTGCAGCAACATGCCTATCATGTCCCCGTGGTCAGTCATATTCTGGCCTCCCTCAAGGGGGGGCGTGTTTTTGCAAAGCTTGACCTAGCTCAGGCGTATCAACAGTTGCCTGTTGATGATGCTGCCGCTGTAGCTCAAACCATTGTGACCCACAGGGGGGCATTCAGGGTAAAGAGGTTACAATTTGGAGTAAATGTTGCTCCTGGAATTTTCCAAAGCATAATGGAAAACACACTACGGGGTATACCAGGGATTTGCCCCTATTTTGATGATGTCTTAATTTCTGGAGACTCTACACACAACTTAGCTGAGAGACTAAGGGCTGTCCTGCTGAGGTTCAGGGAAACGGGCCTCAAACTCAAGAAGGACAAATGTAAAATTGGGGTGCCTTCTATAGATTTTCTGGGATTCAAAATTGATGCTACCGGGATTCACCCTGCTGAGTCCAAATTAAAAGCTATTATGCATGCTCCTAGGCCAAAGTCCAAGGCCGAACTACAGGCCTTCCTGGGCCTTTTGAACTTTTACAACTCCTTCCTTCCAAACAAGGCTAGTGTAGCCGAACCTCTTCATAGGCTCCTGGACAAACAGGCAGTGTGGCAGTGGTCACAAAAACATGAAGCAAGATTCAATGAAATTAAGGCCTTACTCACTTCTAACAGTGTGCTTGCACATTTCAATGAATCCCTTCCGGTGTGCATCGCTTGTGATGCTTCTCCTTATGGGGTGGGAACCGTACTAAGCCACCTCAGACCTGATGGAACTCAGGTTCCTGTTGCATATTACTCCAGGACCTTGTCTTCTGCAGAGTGAAATTATGCTTAGATTGACAGGGAGGCTTTAGCTGTTGTTGCTGGAATCAAAAAATTCCATGATTTCCTATATGGCAGGCATTTCACGGTCTTCACTGACCATAAGCCTTTGTTGGGGCTGTTTACCACACATAAACAAACCCCCCAAATCATCTCCCCCAGAATGCTGAGATGGTCTATCTTTCTGTCTGCCTATGATTTTTCCTTAATTCACAAACCTGGGAAAGAAATGGGCCATGCTCAGTAGATTACCCCTGCCAGTAGTAGAGGCTGACCCTGCACCAACAATCAATATCCTCTCAATTCAAGCCTTGCCTGAGTCCCCTTTAGATGCCAGGGATGTGGCTGCTGAATCAGCCACAGATCTCACACTTTCTCGTGTCCTATCTTGGGTTTTATCTGGATGGCCAGAGAGCTGTCCAGGCACTGAGTTTCAGAGTTTCTGGTCAAAAAGGAACGAGTTATCCACTTTCCAGGGTTGTCTGCTTTGGGGGAGCAGAGTTGTCATTCCTACCTCAGTGAGGACTAGGGTCTTAGGTTCCCTCCACGAGGGTCATCCTGGCATTGTATGTATGAAGGCGCTTGCACACAGCCATTTGTGGTGGCCTGGGTTAGACAGAGACATTGAAGCTAAGGTGCATGCATGCCACCTTTGTCAATGCTCACGCCCTGAAATGCCCCAAGCTCCTGTACATAGATGGGAGGAAACACAGTCTCCATGGTCTAGGGTGCACATTGACTACGCTGGGCCCTTTCATGGTCAATTCTTCTTGGTCTTGGTTGATAGCCATTCAAAATGGCTTGAGGTTGTACCTGTCTCTTCCACCACCACTGCAAAGACTATTCAAGTACTGAGGGGAATTTTTGCTGCACACGGGCTTCCTGATGTCCTCGTATCTGACAATGGCCCTCAATTCACTTCTTCCGAATTCCAAGCTTTCTTACAGGCCAACATGATTCGTCATGCCACCTCTGCGCCCTTCCACCCGTCCACCAACGTTATGGCTGAACGCATGGTTCGCATCACCAAGGATGCTTTGAAGAAACAAACCTATGGAGACTGGCATCACAGGTTGGCTGACTTCCTCCTTTCTTATCGCACTACACCTTCCACTTCTACCGGGAGGAACCCAGCTGAACTTCGTTGGGGGCGCAAACTGACTACCAAGCTTGACCGGTTGCACCCGGACAGACTACCTTCTACAATCACACACCCCAGGGCACCTAGACAACTGCTAGTGGGTGTCCCGGTTTGGACTCGTAACTACGGGCCTGGTCATTTATGGGTCCCTGCCACTGTGTCCAGGGTCACAGGTCCTTTATCCTACGAGGTTTCCCTGGACGACGGTCGTGTCCTGCGACGACACATCGATCAGCTACGCACAAGACGGGACCTTCCCACTGAGACTCCTGGTTTTTTTCCAGGGGGGGAGGGGGACCCCTATGGGCAAAGGGAAGGGTGTGGGCTGCATCCTATCATTAACGAGGGAACCACAGACAGCTCATTCCAAAATTCCGCGAGTGCTCCAAACAGGAATTCATGGAGTCCAACTAGAATTCAGGCACCAGTGCCTACTCCAGCCAGGGAGTCACCCCGGGGGCATAATCACTACACACCAGCATCATTCAGTACTCCAGTCAGGGAGGATATCCAGGAGCATCCAAACAACCCACACCCTGCAAGAGAGCTGGCACACATTCCGTCTAGTTGGCCAAACACTGCCACTGCTCCTAGAAGGGGGCAAGCACACAGGGAGGTGGTCGAGGAACTGAATCCCGATTACAACACCTCTGGCATCACTCAGGGGACAACTGAGTTTTGGGACAGTACTGAAACCCTAGTAAGCCCGGTTACAGAACGGGAACATGAGGGAAGACAGCCTCTTGATAGGTCTAGGACAGACCTGGGAGGTTCTACAGAGTTGCCCAACAGTGGCAGTCACTTAGGAGGGCCAGAGAGCTGCAACCAGGCAGGACAACCAGGTCAAACAGAGAAAGAAGCCCTGGCCTGACGAGCCCGGTGGGCAAGCAAGCAGGCCAGGCATTGGAGCACAATCCTTGGGAATCACCAGGGCCAAGCAAGGGGAACAAGCATACAGCACCCCTCAGTCAAGGGGTACTTGGAGGGTACCCAGAAATCAGGAGGTCACAGAGAGTTAAAAGATCTCCTAAGTATTTGGAAGATTTTGTAACCCTACTGGCAAAACAGAGTTAACAGAGAGCATTCCTGTACATGTAGGAAAAGAATGGAACACTGGGGAACAATAGAAGCAAAAGAGATAACTGGTACGAAAGCTAGTTTGGGTATCACAATCGTATTGGGTTGTATATTATTATTTGTATGATTATAGTCTTAGCCGGGGGGGAAGGGGTATTATGTCCTGAGCCTGTGAAGGCAGGCTCGGGGCATTGCAACAGTCCCGGGCAGGTGCAAGCTGCCCGGGACCAGACTGGCTGTCGCCAGCACTCGCGCGCATGCACAGAGTGCAAGTGCGCCAAATATTGCAGTTTGGTCCGGGGATCGCCTATAAAAGGGGCAGGGAGACTTGGGCGTTGTCGGCGTCTTGTAACCAGTATGCTGAACAGAAATAAAGAGGTTCCTGAGAACTACAACTGCTTCTCGCGTCATTGCCATTTTGCTGAGGACTTAACAAGTATTATTTGTCTTTAGCCTAGGCCAACTGGAACAACCCAAGGCTAAAGCAATGACTCAGCAGATAATGCATAGATGTTGTTTATAAAAAAGTAAATACTTAGGGCTCCCAAGAATTGATTTTTAAGTCTTTTATCACATTACTAAGATTAGTGGAATGTTAATTCTGATGACAACTTTTGATATAAACCACAATTATCTGATTATGTTGATTCAATTATAGTCTGACAAATTAAGCTGACAAATTCTAGTGTTCATTTGCATCCCAGGACTCCTGAATGCATCAAAACAAGAACTCAGAGACATGCTGCAAGAGCACCCTTATTTAAATAAATGACAATAAAGATTATCCTACTCTTCTGCCCATTTTCCATCTATGAAATTAGAGGTTTCCCTTCTACCTATCATACAAGTTTCCCTTCTACCTATCATAAAGATGCAAGGCCACTCACTTCCAGGTTAGAACCCACCTCTTTTATCAACAATTCTCCAAGCTGCTATCATCCTATTATTTATTATTGAATATGCAAGGCTTATTGCTGAGATAAGCAAAGATATAGAGTACAAGGCTCTAAACTGATTAAGAAGTGATATAAGTCCTTAGGAAGATTTTGCTAAAATATTTTGCCATCTGAAAAATGTATTTCCATTTGAATGCCATCTGGAAAATCTGGACTCTGGAAAATGCCATCTGCCATCTGGAAAATGCCATCTGGGAAAAAATGTAACACTTGCCATCTGGAAAAGAAACAAAAGAAATGTACCTAACTCGCTTATCAAAATTAGCATTGCTAAATTTTAATTTTTAACTATTTGCTATATTTAACATGTAATAGTTGCATATTAAATTTCACTTCCAATAACCTATAAGGAATGCAAGTCAGAATAATCGGAACTCTATTGAGGTTGATCTGTATACATATTGGATTAGAAGACCTCCAAGTTCCTATGTTTCTTTGAAAAATACTGCACAGCAACAGCATGTGTCCTGTAGATAAGGACTCAATTTTTCATATAAAAACTGGCAACTTTGTCTCATGGTTTCATGATTCATTAACTTTTGCTTGCTTCCCAGCAAATCCAATGTTTCTGAAACAGAGAAAAGCTTCCCCTCCTTCTCAGAGGCTAACTGAAAAAGGTCCATCCCAAAATGGATCTCAACAGACCATTTTCAGCCAGACTCCAGATACCAGAGAGAGTCTTGCAGCAGTGCCTTGTGACCTTTCTTGCTGATTTTCTGTAGAAGGAGTGGCAGAGCCAGCAGGAGAAGTGAAAAAGAGTCTAGCATTGCTGGTGGTGGAATTCTGGGAGTTGAAGTCCACATGCCTTAAAATTGTCAAGGTTGAGAAACACTGAGCTAAGTCCAACCCTCCCTTGATTGCCACTGACCTTCTAACCCATAACCACATGCTGACTAAAGATTCCTGTGCTTAGCCTTTTAGCAATAAATCAGTTAAATTGAACCTTCATGTGTGGACTTGGTCTTTCCGGCCTTACACTTCCTGAGGAAACCAGCAAGGAAAATTGCAAATGGTGATTACATGATACGCAGAGGGCTTGGCAACCCATCATAAGTGCAAACAGATTGCCAAGACTCCAGATTGCAACAATTAATATCTTGAGGTGCTGCAATGGCCCAGGTTTAGGCAGGAGGTCTTAAGTCCCTTCATTCAGCACTGCTGTAATTTCATAAGTCGAAGACTACCTGTACAGTGCTTAAACTCTTACTTTTTGCATTCCAAAACAAAAACAAGATTATTTATTCTATAGTTAGGAATTATATATGAAGAGGTACTTGGTCTACCAATGTACTGCCATCCTATCCTTTATATGTGTTTGTTCTCAGCTTAAATTTTGAGTTTCTACATTCTATCTTTATTATTATTACATATTTTTAATCTTGTTAAAATTTTATGTATGGTGTGTTTATATATGTATGTATATGTATGAAATTCTAACAAGAGAAAAGCAATACAAATATTAGAAAATAAAAAATTAAATAGTGAATAAGAAAATAGAAAAAGTAAACTAAAAGAAAAAAAAGATTATAAAGAAGCAGCTTCCAATCTTTTTGACAATAGTATATAAGTGCATTTATACTCTCTTTCTCTAAGGTTACACCATAATTTCCTTCTTCTATAATTCTTGATGAGAAGGCTGACCTGGCATGTATTACCAAAACCTGTCTGGGAGAAGAGGGACAGGTTCCCCTTTCTGAGATATATCCAGCTGGTTCCAAATGTGGCACTAGCCAAGATCCCAGAATAGGGGCAGTGAGATGGCAGTGGTCATCCTAGGCTATTGAGAGACATATCCTAATCCTTCAGACTGTCAGGCATGAGAACCTGTTCGTTCAGTTGGATTCTAAGAGGGATTTGTTGGGACTGTTCCTATTGTACAAGCCTCTCTGCTGTACAACAACCTTTCTGTCTCAGCTTCTTGACTCTGTGGTCAGGTTGGTAGTGGAATCCCTCAGGTTTATGATCTTGGGGAACTTTATCTTGTATTCTCTGGAGTGGGGTCAGAGGTAGCTTGAGAATCATGGCCATCATGATAGCCATGAGCCTGTTACAAATTATTCAGGCCCTGATGTATAATAGTGTTCATACATCTGACCTGCTTCTGTCAGAACAGTGGCATAGTATTGTGAATTTGGGAGAGATACTTTTTCTCCCATCATGGTCAGATCACTTCCTGGTGAACCTCCAGTTCTCTGGCACCATCCCCCTCTGCAGGGGTTGCCCTGATAACTGATGAAATCGATTGGGTTCCAGAGGGAGCTTGGGGTTGTTCCAGGTCTGCTACATGATTTGGCTGGAGCGTTGATGCCTGTCTGAAATGGGACAGCTGCTGTGACTTTAGACTGGATCACACCTGAGCAGCCTCTCTGCATCCTTGGATCTTGGAACTCTCCACAGTATACAGAGGAGCTAAGGGAGTTAAAGAGGGCAAGAGATGCCTATATTGCCACTGGCAATTAACAAAAGAGTGAAGATGATTGAACAAGCTAGAGCGCAATTAGAGTCTACCTCATGGTGGTTAGGGTATTGAAATATAATTATTTCTTCCTCCTTAACACATCCTCAAACAGCTACCCAGCAGCCCTGTTTAAGGTGACCTAAAACCTTCTTGGAATAATTCTGAGGTTCATCTTCAGAGTCACTGTGAGAAATGTGTTGAGCATCTGGAAGATAAAATCACTCAGATTCACTCTGAGTTGGACTGCAGCCTTGGTGCAGGACCAGTGAGACTACAGGACTGAATCTTGTACAGTTATCTGAGAGGAGTTCAATTTCATTGAACATGAGACAGGCTGTAGCTTGTAGCTATTATTTTGGCCATTTCTGTGTTAGATCCGTGCCCCTCCTAGCTGGTCAAGGCTGCTTAAAAATGGATGCATGATTGGAATCAGATTACCTGAGAGAATGTCTTCTCTCAGTTGCTTCTAGCCATCTAATACAGTCAGGCAGAATAGGCATACTCCAGACCCATCAGTCAAGATTTATTGGCTGATGAGGCACAGAAAACATGCCTTCTCTTCAATATTACCTGCCCTCTGGAATATCCTTCCTCCCAAGAATAAGATAGCCCCAACCTTGTTGGCCTTTGGAAGGCATTGAAGATCTAGTTATTTGCCCAGGCTAGGAGAATGTATAAGAAGGGCCCTGTTTCCTAGTTACGCTAAGATCTACAGACTATAATATTTCTTGCCTGCTCTATGCATTTAATTCTTCTTTTTGAATTGTGTTTTAATTGATGTTATGATTATTTGCCACCCAGAGTCACTTGTTTGAGATGGGCAGCCATACAAATTGAATAAATAATCTGTTTTAATGAAGCTAAATTGTTTTTCAGTAGTCTTTTAAATTTTGCTATTGCCGTTGTTTTCCATTCTCTCTTATAAATAAAAAAAATGAAAGAAAAAAGTTTTGTCATGGTTGATTCTGATTTATATGCAAGTCTGTTTACAAACAGGAATTACATAAAAATCTTCAAACCAATTTCCACTGCTGCATTAATTGTGCTCACATTAATTCCTAAGTCCTTATTCAACTGTTTGCTTTATCAGTAAAATTAACTAGATAACTATCTTTTCTTTCCACCCACAACTCTGCAGGGATCTTTTTCAGCTTTTCTGTTTAAACCTTTGGTTATCTCAATCATATGAAAAGCTGACTCTATATTAGGCAAACAAGAAACAACTTGACTTGAACAAATACTACCCTTAATATACCTATCTTCATTAAATATAACCTAAGTAGTAAAAAAAATAAATAAGATTTTGTATACCAAATCAAGCAAATGAAGGGGAGGTACTCCTAGTAAGTCTCTGTTGCACAAAAGGCGAAAAATTCCTGGAGTTGAGTTTACCTCCTTTTTACTACATGAAGAGCTCCAAATAGTTTTCTTTGGCAACAATACAATAGTTATTTCCCATTTTGTTTTGTTTGAGCCTAACCTAGATCCCTGGCTCTCTTGATATTCTCCATGCATTTAATTTGTTAAGTTCCTTGTGTAAAAAATTGTGACTTAGACTAATTTTTGTTGTTTGACTTTTTTTCCTTTTCTATTTTCTATTTGTTTTTTTAATAACAAAAGAGCAATAAAACAATAGTGATAGTGATATATTTTCAAAAAAAAGAAATTGTAATTCTTTATTGCTATGAAATATCATGGGTTTTTGTTGTATTCTTTAACTGCTTTTCTTAAAGCACATTATATGTGGTCTTTTTCTTTCTGACAATGTATGCATCATTGTCACTACAGTATAATCTTTTTTGCTTCTCTACTTAATGTGAAAATATATGAATCAAAAAGGGATAAACAGTTTTTCATAGATCATCTAACTTGTACTGAAGCACTAGAGTTTGGTAAAAGCATGCCTACAAGTATGTGTGTGTCTATATCTGCACACAGATATATTTTCTGAAACAATTTTACTTTAGCGGTACTTAGCATATTTATCCTGATGGCAATTTATTATTTCCTCATGCTAATTATTTGGTGATATAATTTGTTATACTTTTTATACCATATTCAAAAATGTTATTGATTTTTAATAAAATTTATGAAAACTTTGTTCCTGAAAAAACCTTTCCTAATCCTTATTCATTGTGACCACCCTATTTATAGCATAAGAAATGATATAGAATGTTTTCTGGGTTGGTACACATTTAATCTCTGCTTAGTCGTGAGCATTACAAAGTGACTCAGGAACAATCATACTCTCATGTCGGAGAATGTTTGGAGGATAAAACGGTGGGGTAAAGTAGGCCTCATTAGAGAAAACACAAAGTAACAGTAATTACAAGTTGTAATGTATGCAAAATATGACAATTTTTTTACAATTTTTTACAATTTTATGACAACCAGTTTTTTAATTAATGTTTCATAATGTTGTGTAATAGCGGTGAACTAAATAACATGGTCATAGACTTGGAGATTCTGAACACAGACACAGTGTAAGGACCCACCCCACTTTGCATCTTAAGAAGACAGAACTCTTGGAATATTTCTTCCAACAAGCATCCTTTATTAAGAGAAAATGGTTGCAGGCGTTCTAGACAGGACCTAGGGCCCAAGCCCTACGGTTCAAGGTTTTAAGGGGTCCCCAGCAGCCCCACCCCACCCCACCATCTTTCCAGCGACAATCCCAGGCTTTACATTTCCACCCCATTTTTCCTCACTGCCAATGGAAGGGAGACTTCAGAGAGGAGTAGATGAAAGCTGATGGCCCC